CTTCCTTGGTGGCCTAGGGGTTAGGTTTCAGTGCTACCAACACTTTGGCCTGTTGATCCCAGACAGGGAGCTACCCACATGGCACAGCAGACCTCTCCTTGTCTCGCCAGCTGCTCCCCTCAGCAGTGTATTTCAGTTAATCCACCTGTTTTGTTCCCTACTCTGTCTCTGGTGAATCCTCTCACCCCCCCAACCTGCACCTCTGGCCTGTACCCCAATTCTTGTATGCATAAATAAATAAATCTTTAAAAATAAAATGCAAGACTCAGGTGGTGGAGGGAAGACTACATTATATAGAGTATGGTTGCCCTGAGGCGCTGTCCTCCCCTAGGAATCGCCCTATGACCAAAATAATGTGGGGGACAATCATAATGTTGGGAGTCAGAACTTTTTTGGTGTTGCTAAGAATGTTCTAGGTAGAGAGAGGCAGGGCAACAAGGACGGCAGCTGGGAGGCTACTGTCCTTGGTATGAGAGCGAGGGAGGAACAGTAGGAAAGTCACTATCTTCTCCCTGCCTTCCATTCTTCTTTTCCACCTCAAATAGAAACTCTATGCCATTAGTATTTCTTCCCATTTTCTTCTGTTTCAGCCTTAAGCAACTGCTAATCTTTTTACTGTCTCTGGATTTGCCTATTCTGATGCTGAGGAGAAGATTCCAGAATATAGGTCAGAGTTGCACACTAGCCCCAAGCCCCTGTAGTTCTGTTGGCCTCTAGCCTGGATTAGTGAAGGCAAGCTCCAGCTTAAGGTAGAAGCAAAAGCTCTATCTGGCAAGCTGTCTGCTCTTTTGGAGTCTCCCCTGGCACTGTCAAACAGTTAAGACAGTCTTTGTGCCTTCAGGTGACTGCAGCAAAAATGTTTACCTGGCTTGACTGTGCACCAGTGGCCTTTTCTGCACCAGGCTCTTTGCCTCCATTTGCTTTTTTTTTTTAAAGATTTATTTATTTATTTATTTATGCAAGCACTGGGTACAGTCAGAAGTGTGGGAAGGTGAGAGAATTCACCAGAGCCAGAGCAGGGAACAGAACAGGCAGAGTGATGAAATACACTGCTGAGGGGAGCAGCAGGCGGCAGGAAAGGTCTGCGCACCATGTGGTACCCTCACAGGTGGCCGGGGAGGGGGATCAAACCGGCGCTGCAGAGGCTGCGGGCAGCCTCGCAACCCAGCGGTCAACCGCTGCGCCACCAGGGGAGGCCCTCCATCTGCTTTTCTGGTTGGTTTCTAAGCCTTCTTTGATCCCTCTTGTCCTGTACCTGCCCTCATTGGAGTGGCATCCCAGGTGGGAACAGTTCCCATACAAGCAGAACTAATCTTTTGATTCTCCCTGGGGCATTTATGGCCCCAGAAATGCCTCCCTGCAAGGCATCCTAGCTGGAGTGGCCAGCATGGGGCAGCCCAAAGATACGAGCTCTGAAACCAGGGGATCCTTTGACCCGCAGCATACCTAGGAAGCAGGTATGCTCACCTGGGCATGCCCCTGCATACATGAGCACATCCCCTTTTCTCTGTCTCTTGCTGGGGGGATTTTCCCTATACTTTTGATCCCCCCTGACCCTCTCTGAGAAGCCTGACTGGACAGAGGGGCCACTCTGCAGGGGGGCTGGAAGGAGAACACTTTGTATGCTGAGAATTCTTTGAGGAACCACACCATAAAATGGCCTGGTCGGCCATACACTATAGATTTGTTCATGTTGCCCTTGATACTGTTATTTTATGTCTTTTTTTTTAAATGGAGGTAACGCTGGTTTAAATTCTTGTTCCTTTTAATCTTGGGATTAAAACTCCTGTTTGGGGCCTCCCCTGGTGGTGCAGGCAGTTGAGCGCCACGCTATGAAGCTGTCTGCAGCCTTTGCAGTGCTGGTTCGATCCCCGCCGGCAGGGAGGGTACCACATGGCGCGGCAGACCTCTCCTGTCTCGCCCGCTGCTCCCCTCAGCAGTGTATTTTATCAGTCTGCCTGTTCTGTTCTCCGCTCTGTCTCTAGTGAGACCTCTCCCCCTCCCGCGCATGTGGCCTGTACCCCGGTTCTTGTATAGATAAATAAATAAATCTTAAAAAAAAAAACCTCCTGTTTGTTTGTTTTTAAGATTTAATTTTATATATTTATGCATACAAGAATTGGGGTGTAGGCCAGAGGTATGGGAGGATGAGAGAATTCACCAGAGACAGAGTGGGGAGCAGAACAGGCAAATTTACTGAAATACACTGCTGAGGGGAGCAGCAGGTAAGACAGGAGAGGTCTGCTGTGCCATGTGGGTATCTCCCTGACCGGGGATCAAACTCATGCTCCAGCGGCTGGTGATAGCTTGACAGCACTGAGATTGAACCCTGGCGCCACCAGGAACCCCAAAACTCCTGTTTTTTAAACAGCATATCAAGGCATAATTTTCATATCATACAATTCACCTAAAGCGTAGAATCCTGTGGTTTTTTAGTGTTTTCAGACTTGTGCCATCATCACCAGTATCAATTACATCACCTCAAATAGAAACCCTGTACCCATTAGCATTTTTTCCCCATGTTCTATTCCGTCCCTAAACAGCTACTAATCTATTTACTGTCTCTGGATTTGCCAGTTCTGGGCATTCCATATAAATGAAATCATACAATTCCATACAATGTGGACTTTTATGGCTGATTTCTTTTGCCTAACATGTTTCCAGGTTCATCCATTTTGTGACATGTATCAATATTTCATTTCTTTTTATGTTGAGTAATATTCCACTAAATAGATCCAGCCCAACTTGTTTATCCATTCACCCATGGATGAACACTACATTGTTTATACTTTGTGGACATTATGAAGAATGCTGTTGTAAATACGCATATAGAAGTGTGTGTAGACAACATTTTCATTTCTCTTAGGTAGATACCTAGAAGTAACATTTCTGGGTCGTAATTGTTTGAGGAATCACCAGACTTAGCCAAAGTTGCTGGACCATTTTACATTCCTACTTGCAGTATATGCAAGTCCTCTAAGCCTCACTGACATTTGTTAATATCTGACTTTTTTTTTTTTTTATTATACTCACTCTGGGGAATGTGAAGTAATCTCATTGTGGTTTTGATTTGCATTTCCCTGAGATTAATTTAAGTATTATACTGTGTATATTTTCATGGCCCTATTGGCCATTTGTGTATCTATCGAGAAATGCCTATTCAGATCCATTGCTTATTTTAAAAATAGTTTATCTTTTGATTACTGAGTTGTAGAAGTTACTTACAGTCCCTATCAGATACACGATTAGTAAAAGCTTTCTCTCTTCCATACATTATCTTTAACTTTTTTTTTTAAGATATATCTATTTATACATATAAAAACTGGGGTATAGGACAGAGGTGGGGAGGGTGAGAGGATTCACCAGAGACAGAGTGGGGAGCAGAGCAGGCGGATCTATTGAAATACACTGCTGAGGGGAGCAGCGGGCGAGCCAGGAGAGGTCTGCTGTGCCATGTGGGTCAGCTCCCTGGCTAGGGATCCAACTTGTGCTGCAGTAGCTGAGGATAGCTTCATAGTGCTGAGACTTAACCCCTTGTGCCACCAGGGGGGCCCCATCTTTAACTTTTTCGATGGTGTCCTTTGAAGCACCAAGTTTTTAATTTTGATGCTGTCTCTTACTCATTTTTTTACTGAGATAATTTACATATAACACTATCCATTTTTGGTATACAACATGATTTGATATATGGCTCACTCATTTTTAATGGTGGGCAAAATAAGCACACATGATGAGGGGCAGGGGTATAGCCAAGTGCACACTGCCTGGGCCCAGCAATAATGGGTTAGCTGTAGGCAGTCATCACATGTTTCATGTTTGATAAACCACAAATGATTCAGTGCAAATGGGGGAGGGGAACATAGATTAGATCCATATAAACAACCTGAATGCAACTAAACAGGTTGGTATAGCTATCCAGGTAGCAGTTCTCAATGCCAGGGACATCGTGGGTGTGGATGGGAAACCTTCACAACAGGCCTGGCTGTTTGGGAAGATGTTCTCTGCCCCATGACTATGGAGTCATTTTTTTACCAAGCCTGGATTTGTTGGGGAATCACTGAGGGTTTCTGCTTTGAAATCATGTGGGAAAGGCTGATGCAAGATGCAGTGGTTCAATCTTGCTGTTGACTTTCGCAGGTGCTGATCGATGGGGCAAAACATCAGGTGGACAGGGAAACCCCTCCTTGTTCTTATAAATTCAGAAACAGGAATCCTAGACCCACTCCCTCCTGAACCCTAAGGAAACTGTAGAATTCTGATTGGTGCCTTCCTGAAACCTAGTCTCTCAGAATCAAAAGCAGCTTTTGCTGACATCTGTTCTTTCTGGGACACTGATTTTTTTATTTATAAAATGACGCTCTTATCCCCAAATAGATTCTTATTTTTAACAGGCTTGCTCCCTTTGAGGGATGTCTGAGGCTCACAGTTTTGCTTTCTGGCATGTCATTGTAACCCTGCAAACACGGGAAGGCCCCAGCCTGTGCCAGAGCAGGCGGAAAAGGAGGGCCACTCTTCTCCCAGGAGGGCCAAGTCTGTCTTTACATCTGGAGTTTGATTTCTGCTTTACTCTTCTCCCCTCCACTTTTTTTTTCTTTTTAAGATTTTATTTATTTTTGCATAGAAGAACTGGGGTACAGGCCAGAGGTGTTGGGGGGGATTCACCAGAGACAGAGTGGGGAGCAGAACAGGCAGATGTACTGAAATACACTGCTGAGGGGAGCAGCAGGTGAAACAGGAGAGGTCTGCTGCACTGTGTGCGGGTTAGCTCCCTGGCCAGGATGGAACGCTGGCAATAGCTTGATAGTGCTGAGACTTTAACCCCTGCACCACCAGGGAGGCCCCAGGAAAAACTTCTCAATTATCAGTAATTGCCCCCAGGAGAATCCCTGTATGAATAACTCAGGGAGGAGAAAAGTTTCCTGGAGATGCCTGGAGCCTCTTCCCTCTCCTTCCTGCGTCCTCTGCCCCTTCTCTCAGCTTCCTTTCTTCTTGTCTTCCAGCTGCCCAACATGTTTGGTGACCTTCGTTCCACGTTTATTGCCCTGATGATTGGATCTTATGCCTCCTCAGCAGTCACCTTCCCAGGAATCAAGGTGAGGGTGTGGTTGGCTGATTTTCCGCATGTTGGTTTTGTGCGGGTGTCTGAACAGGGACCTCTCCAAGTCTCCTTCAGTTACTTCAAGAGGAAAGTAATTGTGGGTGCTGGGGCAGGCCCCTTCCTATTTTCCCCAACACACACACACACACACACACACACACACACACACACACGGATGCACCTGGGCCCCACATAAATAAGAAAACCACGGGGCCATGGGGGACAGAAAAGTCAAGCGTATCGCCCAGGTGTTCCCACAGCCTGCCTTTGCATTTCTGGGCAGTGGTAGAGAAAGGGAGTGGGTGAGTCTGTCCGTTCTTGAATCCAACTCCTGTCTCCCCTACCCCCAGCTCTGTTGTTGTTGGGCTGTTACTCTCCATTAGCAAAGCGCTGCTCTCAGCCAAGTTGGTTCAGCTGTTTCCCTCCCAGGCAGGATTCTGAGCCCATGGAAGTCACACAGGGTCAGGATGAAGCAAACACCTCATAGTCCATCAGATCCAGTTCCTACTCCAAACCCTGCTACCCCTGCAGAGGTTCAGAAGGGGTTTCTCTCTCCCCTGGCACCAGCACTACATGAAGCCCATTTCCTGAGGTATATGGGGGAGAGGGGGCATGAGGAGAAGGCATCACAGATGTGGGCTGGCCAGCTGGGAATCAGGGTGCCTCGAGGGTCCAGGACCAGCCATCCTGTGGACTTTAGGGGTCCTCACACTCCCAGAAGAGCTGACAAGTCCCTCTATGCTCTTCTCAGTGTCTAACCGCTAGTCTCCTTCCTGGGGAGTTGGGCAGCTGTCTGCCAGGACTCCCGGGACTACTCTGCTGGAAGTAAATGGTGATAAGCCTGTATTTAATAACAGGTAACACACTCAGCAGGTGTCCCACCTGCTGGGGCCCATTCTGAGAGCACTCTCCCAGCATCAAACTCGCTTACCCCCATCCTACACCACCACACAAGCCCATGTTACTCCCATTTCACAGAGCAAAGCAAGACATTCCTCTGGTCATTCCTCGAGTATTTTTTTGGCACCTACTATGTGTACTTCTTCAAGGCATGAGAGAAACATCAGTGAACAGGGTTAGCAGGTTCCTGTTCACTGGAAGTGAGTCTAACAAAGACAAGTAAATAAACCAAGAAGCCAGGAATCTCAGCCAGGGCTATTTACTGTGAGCCAGGGATGTGACAGTGATGGCAGTGTCAGGGAAGGCCTCTCCAGGGAAGTGACATTTGGCCCAAGCTGGAGGCTTAGGGGGTTAATGACATGCCAGTGTGAGCTCGGATTGTGGGGATGCAGGGTGCCTGATGACTAAACACCCAGACTGACAGGCTGTGCCTCCTCATGCAGCTAGCACAGAGAGAGTGGGGGCTGCCAGATGCCCTCTGCCTGCCACCCGCCCCGCTTCCCTCTGCTAACTGTCCTCCCTTCCCCTCCCTTACCCCTTTGTGCCTGTCAGGTCATCTATGACTTTGGTGTCTCCTTCATCATCATCCTCGTGGTCTGGGCCAGCTGCTCTGGGCTGGTTTTCCTCAACTGCTTCTTTAACTGGCCTCTGGAGCCCTTCCCTGGGCCAGAGGACATGGATTATTCGTAAGTGCATATTCTGTCTGCCCCTAGCCCCACCCCAGCCAGTATCCTGGGCAGCACTGACAGATGCTCTTCCATGGCTTCCAGGGTGAAGATCAAGTTCAGCTGGCTGGGCTTCGACCACAAGATCACAGGGAAGCAGTTCTATAAGCAGGTGACCACGGTGGGGCGCCGCCTCAGCGTGGGCAGCTCCATGAGGAACACCAAGGAGCAGGCAGCGCTGCAGGAGGGCCACAAGCTATGCCTGTCCACTGTCGACCTGGAGGTCAAGTGCCAGCCAGATGCTGCAGGTACCTGCCATGCCACCCTCACCTTCTGGGTCTGGCTGAAATGTCAGTCAGGGCACCTGCATCTACACCCTGGCAACAGGAGTGGCCAACCCAGATCTGGGGCTGAGGCTTCCCCAGGAACCTGCCTCACTGTGCCAGCACTGGCTGAGGGCTTAATGGCTACCGCCTCACTTAATTTTTTTTAAAAGATGAATTTATTTATTTATTTATACAAGCACTAGGTACAGTCAGAAGCGCAGGAGGGTGAGATAATTCACCAGAGCCAGAGTGGGGAATAGAACAGGCAGACCAACGAAATACACTGCTGAGGGGAGCAGCGGGTATGGCAGGAGAGGTCTGCACGCCATGTGGGACCCTCGCTGGCGGCCGGGGATTGAACCGGCACTGCAGAGGCTGCGGGCAGCTTCCCAGCCCAGTGCTCAACCTCTGCACCACCAGGGGAGGCCCTCACTTAATTTTTTTTTAAAGATTTATTTATGCATACAAGAACTGGGGTGTAGGCCAGAGGTTGGTGGGGTTGAGAGGATTCACCAGAGACAGAGTGGGGAACAGAATAGGCGGATCTACTGAAATACACTGCTGAGGGGAGCAACGGGCAAGACAGGAGAAGTCTGCTGCACCATGTGGGCTGGCTCCTCGGCCAGCCGGGGATTGAACTCATGCCATGCTGCAGTGGTTGTGGACAGCCCCATAGTGCTGCGATTCAACTCCTTTCGCCACCTGGGAGGCCCCCCACATCACTCAGTTTAACCCACTTCCTCCCCAGTGGGCAGCTCATCTGGTTCACAGATGAGCACACTAAGGCTCAGAGAGGGTAAAGGGATATCTAACTCACTTCACACAACTGGGTGACCTGCCTCTGGCATGCACACCACTAGCCCTGCCAGGGCCCCACTTACATCCAGCATGCAGTATGCAGCAATTTGGTCAGCAAATCGGACCTTCCCCATTCACACACCTGGCCCCTGGGTGGTGGGTGGGCTTTTCGGCCGTGGCAGCACTGTTCTCCCTGAGCACCTTCTCCCCACAGCGGCCCCCTCATTCATGCACAGCGTGTTCAGCCCCATCCTGCTCCTCAGCCTCGTCACCATGTGCATCACACAGCTGCGGCTCATCTTCTACATGGGCGCCATGAACAACATCCTCAAGTTCCTGGCCGGCGGCGATCAGGACGTAGGTAGGTGGCCCCTGGCCCTCAATGTGCAGCCCTACAAGACTCCCCGCAAAAAGTAGTCACTCCCTTGTCCCTGAGGTCAAGTCCACTGCCCGACTGACTGGCAGCAGGACTGTGAAACGGCAAAACTCAAGAGACCGATTGATGGCATGTTGGAGCCGTTTCATCACAGTCGGGGTGTTTGGGATGTGGAGGGGATGTTTCCATCGCCTGCGGGTGGACGGTGTTTGTAAGTGAAAACATTGCACAGAACAGAGTCCTCTACCTGAGACTTGTTGAAAGACGGCAAATCAAACCCAATGCCAAGAATTCCCCAGGAAACCTCAGGGTTGGTGTGTGAAGAGGCCGGGTGCCTTGGGGGAGGACAGACCATCCGACAGGAGACTCTGGGACAGTTGGACCCACACTGATATTGACCTCCTGAGCCGGAAGCCCGGCCAAGAGGAGGCCTCCTCCCCATGTAATCCAGTCGAGACTTGTTAAGTCTGGTAAACAGAACTGATAACCCACATGCCTCTTTTCCAAAAACCACACAGAATGTCCTCAGCTGATTAGAGGTTTTGATTGTACAAAGAAAGTCAGTACTTCCTCAGGGCCTGAGCTGAGTCAGCTTTAGTCATTCCTAAACAGGACAAACACTTTCGGTAAATCTTTTTTATTGGCAATCTCTTTGGTGTGCAGCTTTTTTGTTGGTTGAATTGTTTTTCCCTGAGGGAAGATAACCTAGGCATTGTAAGGAGTCGAATCCTGTTTTATTGGGGACGAGAAAAGATGACAGGGAAACAGTCAACACTGGTTCCTCTGTGAACTGGAAGGAACACAGTCATGGGGCCTTGCAGAACCTCACAGTGAACATTGACATAGCAAAGCCCTGATGAGCCTCTGGGAAGAAAATCACCTGTTTAGCTTTGTTTAATCCAATGATAGTCCCCCAAATGTGTACCACAGGAAAACTCCTGTCAGGTAACACTCATTAAAATCTGTGCACCACACCTTAGGGAAAGCTGATCTAGCAGATCTAAACACCTCTACTCCGAACTCTCAGGCTGAGGGAGGGAGAGTCCCTGAAGTGTGCAGAGTAAGGCCTTCACAAGGGCCTTTGGAAGGCGAATTTCCCTATTGCTGACTCATAGCTTTTTCACTCAAGTTTTCTGAGAAATATTTTGCTACCTAAGAGGATTTTTTTTCCCCCAACTGTTTCCCACATTCAACAAGTTAATTTCAAGAAGTAGAGGAAGTTGGGCCAGGAAATTTAGTCTGTGGCTGAAAAGGGCATTGGTTTTCCCCACCCTGCCCCTGTGAGCCACTGCACCCATACCAACAGCCATGGCTATGCCCAGAGTGCCTGCTTCAGGGTCAGGGAGCCCATGTGGTTGAAGTGAGACCCACTCTGGCAGTTTGGGGGAGACCCGTGGAGTCTGACACTTTGACTGTGGGTTGAGGTGGATTCTTTGATTTCTGGCAAAGATGTGTCCCTGTGGGGGAGGGAGAGAAAGAGATTGAGATTGAGACAGACAGACAGACACACAGACACACACAGTGAGGGCCTCAAGTTCTGCAGGATCCTTCTGCACCCACACTACTTCCTCATCATGGTCCCCAGCCAGTACCACAGGTCTGATTCACCAGCCTGTCTGTGACAGCACCAGCTGCACATGACTGAGGCCCCAGTAGACAAGAAAACGTCAGTGGGCACCCACGCCAGCCTTCCTGCCTTCGCTCCCAGAACCTGGCTCAAGCTTGGCCTCTTCTGGGCCTTCTTAGGATCAGTTCTCCATGGGAAATAACATGCACACGGGCCCCAGAGCTCACTTGGCCTCCACAGCCCATCTCTCTGTGACAACCTTTGAGATTTTGCTGCTAATAACCTCCCTCCTTTCTGCTTTTTCCACCCTTGCTTTCTTGGTGCAGTGATGGCCACTGGTAAGCAAGGGGTGGGGGGTTTCTGGGAACATTGCAACATTCCCTCCCAGCCCATCTTTGTTCAGCCAAGAAACACCTTACCTTGAGTTCCAAAACATCCCTGTTGGCCAGAACTGTGGGTGGGGGTGGGGCAGCTTCTATTTGCCTGAAAAATCCTGGCGTAATTTTAAGACTCTTTGAAGATAGAAGCTCTTACGTCAGAGCCCCTATGAATGGTGCCTTCCTGATATATTTCTAGAGGCAGAAAACTAGCAGTCAGTCGCACACAAAGCCTCAGTCGCAGGCCTTGGTAATTTTGTGGTTCCCGAGTCAGAGAGACTTCCTGAAGCTTCTGGGGGAGGTCATTGTGACATCCTGGATTTCGTTAGAGATGTTTCTTGGAAACGAGCAGGAGATTTGGAGAACAGTGTAATCTGCCTGTTGCCCCAACAGGCAGATTTGATTTCAGAGGTTAAGGTTTCATTTCTCTCACCCTCATAACCCAAAGTGACAAGGGAAGGGAGGTCTGGGGGAGACCCCAGAAGGGCCTGTGAAGTATCGCATTGTTCTCAGTGCCTACCCCTATCACCAGAACCCTCCCCCGCCTGTGACACAGCCCGTCTTCCTTCCCAGTTGGCCTCTACACCTCCATCTTCGGTGTGCTACAGCTGCTCTGCCTGCTGACAGCCCCTATCATCGGCTACATCATGGACTGGAGGCTGAAGGAGTGTGAAGATGCTTCGGAGGAGCCTGAGGAGAAGGAATCCAACCAGTGCGTAGCTGAGACTGTGCCCGGCCCCGGCCCTAGAGACGAGAGCACAGTCAGACTAGGCAGGGCTAGGGCGGGCTGTTCTATTTTAAAGTCAGCCAGAAGGATGGGAGCGGCACACTCCAGGCACTCTCACTGGGGCTTCCAGGCACACACTCAGCTCAACACGCTTTTCATGGGGCCTCTGTGTGGCCTGCACTCTTTGTGGACATTCTCTGGTGTGTTAAAGTTTGGGAACCACTGAAGTTGATGGAGGGTGGGGGAACCAGAGGAGGATCAGTGTCACCTGGTTAGCAAACCACTCTGCTTTTCGGATTGCTGTGAGATCCTTGGCACAAATGGCACAGGGGGATAGAATCCTGCTTGCCTGTGCCATTTACTCCACTCGGTGTGAGCAATAAGTTGCTGTGACCCTCATCTGTGTTCATATATTTGTTCATGATTGTGAGGATTAGATACAGTCATGTTTGTGGAACCCTACTTCACGGAAGGGTGGGACTCCAAGATCAGAGGATGAATTAAACGCTGTCTTCTCTGACTCCACCTAATGTAATAAGCTGCTATTCATTGCATTAGGCCCTGTGCCAACCACTTAACACAGACTCTCTGTCAGGCCTCACACTTCCTGCCCATTTTACAGATGAGGAAACTTGAGGTTGGAGTTTAAATAGCTTGCGCGAGGTCATATAGGAGAAAGCAGCAGACCCGGGGCTCCCTGTACCTCTCGAAGCCCTTGGCATTTGTTCCTGGATGTCGTATAGTTGTCCATGGGGCGTCCACGGGTGGTGAGACTAGAATCAGTAACAGTGAATTCACAAGGCAGTGATTATAGGGAATGTTATCTAGGTCAGGTCCTACAGCCAAGAGGTTATTTGTGCCCATTTCGGTTCCATCTGCTGCATATTTGTTTCTTCTTCACCCCCACAATCCCTTATTTGGCTTATTATCTGGCCCATTGTCAGCTCCCTGCAGGATTTGGGTGAAGTCGAAGCTAATGGTGCAGTGAGACTTTGCCACTTCCTAACATGGGCACTTCTGCTCATCTTTTGAGCTGCCTTAACTGACACAATCTGTATGATGGTGACCATCTTCTCCTGTTTGGCCTCTCCCCTGAGGTTTACACCCAGTGCTCTGTTGCGAGGATGCAGTATGGGAGGGTCACTGAGCCTGGTCCAGCCCCAACAGTCTAGAAAATGTGCTGGGGTAGATGAACTCTGAGTCTTATGTTGTCCACAAGCTATGACCCCCAAAGCCTGAATTGCTAGAAGGGTCCATTCTCTTCCAGGGAGCCTCCAGCTCCACGGTGGGTTCTGTCTCCACAGGGGCCAGGAGAAGAAGAAGAAGCGGGACCGGCAGATCCAGAAGATCACAAATGCCATGAGGGCCTTTGCCTTCACAAACCTGCTGCTTGTGGGCTTTGGGGTGACCTGCCTCATCCCCAACCTGCCTCTACAGGTAAATATGGGGAAAGGGAGTGGTCAGGTGGGGGTAGGGGACAGTGAAACTCAAAAAGTGCATGATCTGTCCATCATGGAAGCCAGCAACAAAGGGAACAACGACTTTGATGTTTATTTCACTCAACCAACTGACTAACCAGCCAGTGCCCTGTTACTTACCGATGCTGGATGTGAGCTGTAAATAAAACTGGAATCGCCATCCACAGGAGACTCTTCTCTAGGAAGGCATATTGTTCTTAGTCTTTGAGGCATTTTGTATACCCTGAATACCACCCTCATACCATTTCCAGAAATGTGTGGAGTAGCTATGTGGCTACTTGTTTTGTATTTGTTCACATGGCTGAAATATGATGTCCAAAGAGGTCTAGCTAGTCTGCGGCGCTGGCGGGAACATCTCCTCTGGTATAAGTGCCCCACAGGGTCTCTGTTGGAGAGCATGGAAAAAGACTGTGGTGATCACTTGGAATTTGGACCTAAAGCTTAATTTCTTTGTACAAGATTTCCAATGATTTTGAAACCTACTTTTGTCAAGATTTCAAGCAGGGCCTCCCCGGTGGCGCAGTGGTTGAGCACTGGGTTGCGAAGCTGCCCGCGGCCTCTGCGGTGCCAGTTCGATCCCCAGCTGCTCCCCGGCCACCGAAGGAGGGTCCCACATGGTGCGCAGACCTCTCCTGCCGCCCGCTGCTCCCCTCAGCAGTGTACTTCGGTCCTTCTGCCTGCTCTGCTCCCCGCTCTGGCTCTGGTGAATTTTCTCACCCTCCCGCGCTGCTTCTTTTTTTTTTTTTTTTAATAGAGGCATGTTTTATTTATTTGTTTGTTTGTTTGTTTATACATGCACTGGGTACAGTCAGAAGCGTGGGAGGGCGAGAGAATTCACCAGAGCCAGAGCTGGGAGCAGAGCAGGCAGAAGGACCGAAGTACACTGCTGTCACCCTCCTGCGCTTCTGACTGTACCCAGTGCATGTATAAACAAAACAAACAAATAAATAAATAAAACATGCCTCTATTAAAAAAAAAAAAAGATTTCAAGCAAGGTAGATTTTGTTACTTGTCTGTCTTCACTGTTAGGTTCACAACAGCATTCTAGCCCCAACCCCCAAGTTTACAAACTTAGAGGGGACACGAGTGATGGCATTACTACCAGATGGTGTGTCCCAGCTCCAGGTGGTATCTTGGGCCAGGCCCAGGAGGAAAACCTAGTTCCTTCCTTTTTACAAGTGGCCATGAGTTGAGGGGCATTGAACACCCGGGGGTGTACCAGTCCTGGGTATTGTCAGTTGTATGTGTGCATATAAGTGCATACAGACCAGAGTAAACCACTGGAGACTTGTATAGCTCCAAGTGGGAGTGTCCTTGCCTCCTGCTACTTTCCTGGCCTCCTGCTGCTGCCCTCTCTGCAAGATTGGCAGAGCCTTGCCCTGAACACTTTGTCCAATTATGGGACATTGCTCAGTGTCTGCTTTTTGCTTTATTTATTTCCCATTGAAAGAAGAGTTGTAAAAGGCAACTAGGCCTATGAAGAGAAAATGAACCTGCACAAGTATGTGAATGCACATGAGGGCTCAGCGCTCTTTCAACACTGTAGAGAGCAGCCCAATGCCCCCTCCACCGCCCACATTCTCGGAAACGGACCTGGCTGCTGAGTAGGATGTGATGGCAGGGCTGTGAGCAAACAAAAGGTCCTGGTGGCAGAGTAGACTCCTTTCATGCCTCTCAGGAGCTTTAACAAGTGCTTCTTGGACTTGCTACGTCTGCCGCAGTGGCAGCCCTTCTTAAGAAGCAGGGCTCTCCTAGAAAGGGGAGAGGACAGCCACATACCAATACGACCTGGGTGACCAGGCAGGGACACCTCTGGGCACAGTCCTTCAGTTACCAAGGCAAGAGATCAAGGCCATGAGCAATGGCCTCCTACTTAATGCTGCGTTGATACCTAGTTAATAGCAGATTCCAGGTGGGGTGGAGTCCCCTAATTTTAGTGTTCGCCAATTTCCATGGTCATGACTGATTTCAGCCAATTTGATGTCACTGACCATAGAGTTGGAAAGAAATTCACATTTACACACCATCCTGTGATATTTCTACCATATACATACATGTTTTATATATGGTGTTTCAGTGTATGTTTGTTTACATACACTAGACTTAAAAAACTTAAAACATTGAAATAATTAGAAGCAGTGAATCTTGAGTATTCATCACCTTTGTTTTTGATAGTTTATTATAAAATTTAATTTTTAGGAATGGCTATATTTACTTTGGCTCACAGAATTCCTGAACATTCAAAAATTGACCTCAGAGAGCTGGTACAAGCCAGCCCCAGGTTTCCGTGCTCCCATTGCAGGGCCCAGGAGCCAAGGGGATGAAGTGGGGCCCTCGCAGCCTTGTGCTCACGCTCTGTTCTCCCTCCTACAGATCCTTTCCTTCATCCTGCACACAGTTGTGCGAGGATTCATCCACTCTGCCATTGGAGGCCTGTATGCTGCCGTGTAAGTCCCAGGAGCTTCATGTGGCCCGGTGGCTGAGGGTGAGGGGATGGCCTGAGGGAGATTCATGGTGGAAATAAGATCCAGGGGCGAGGGGACGGCCTGCCCTCACAGGGTTCATCTTTTTTGCATTGAGGGACAGGTACCAGGGCTTCTGTGGAGTATGTCAGGAGAAGGCCATACTTGGCTGAGGTAGGTCAATGAGAAACCAGTTGGGTGCCCACAGGCCTTGGCATTTAACACGAAGTCAGTTCTCTGGCCATGGTCAGTGCTCTATGCAGCTCATTATGCCCTAGGGGCCGCTGCTCAGCCGAGTTCTAAAGCTGCCCGTGGCTGCTCATGGGAATGGTACAGGTCTGGCTGCCCAGACGCAAATGCTGAAGTTCACATGGGTCTCAGGGGAGAGTGACATGGATGACTGATCCCAGGATTTATCAGCCAATTCTCGACCAGCACCTCAAAGGGCCTGGTTCTGCCCAGGGCCTTTTCAGGCCCTGGTTCAGATGAATCCTTCCTCTTGTTCCAAGAGGCCTTATATGCATCAGGAACTCCGGTCGTTCCTGTCTCTTGGGCCAGGGCTTGGCTCAAAATCTGTAACCCAAGCACCCTCTACTGTCTCTCTCTGACTGAAGAACCAGCTTGTCCCTTGCTGGGAGCTCCTTCCTGCCTCTGGGGCAATAGCACCTGAGATTTTGCCAGAACTCTCTCCCTCCCAAAAGCATCCCTCGAGGGTCATTCCAGGTCTGCCTGTCCCACACATCCCTGGCCTGGAGGAAGTGGTGGCTGTCCTGGCAGGGCCTGAGGTAGTTGACTGAGAGCTATGATGCTGAGTTTCCGTGATTACACAATGCTCCTTTGGATAAGGGCACAGCAGTCAGGCCCAGCCTCCACCTGCTCCCTGGGCCTGTTCCTCAAGCTGCAGACTCCAGCTGGCCCCACACTTTCCACTCAGCTTGGCCAGATACCCATGACCCAGGGCACACACTGGGGTGAGGTAGGGTTCTCCCCAGAACCTGGGTCCTCAGGCTGGTCTAAAAAATGAAATTCACTTTGCAAAACTGCCTAGCAGAAAGTAATCCAAGGGCAGATACCCCGCTGTTCTCTGGGGCTGTTCCTGCATCATCCTTCTCTGGCACCAGTGCACCTGGGACCAGGCTGAGGCCAAGGAGGATTTGGAAAGCCTGGAGAATGGCACCTGCAGTGACAGGTTTTCAATTGCCCCGGCAGGTACCCCTCCACCCAGTTTGGCAGCCTCACGGGACTGCAGTCTCTGGTCAGTGCACTCTTCGCTCTCCTGCAACAGCCCCTGTTTCTGGCCATGATGGGCCCCCTCCAAGGAGACCCTCTGTGGGTAAGAAGGCTCTGGGGGTGGTGGGTCACAGTTATCTGCCCCATTTTGCTGACTGGGAGTCGGGAACCATCACTCAGAGCCCTGAGGATGGGCAGCTTGGGAACTTGGGTTAGGGTCGATTTAGAGTTTCCTCATGAATGGTGGCTGGGCAGCAGAAAAGTGTCTTCTTTGGAGCTGACTTTGCAGTAAATAGATCAGAGTTGCTATCCCAGCCCCACTTTTGTAGATTCAGATCAGTAAGTCTGAGGTGGGGGCCCAGGCCCTGAGGGATTGCTGGGTGGCTGGGTCAACTGGGGAATTCTGAGGTTGGAATGTGGAACTATGGCCCTTAGACAGCTCAGAACTTCCTGTTTCAGTTTTTCCTCTTCTCTCCTGTGACCTTTTCCTCTTTCCCAAACCTGAGTGTGAGGCAGGGTCTCGAGCCAGGCTCTGCAAAGACCACGGTCCCCTGCCTCACGTGACAGTGACTTTGATCCCTGCCTCCCCAGGTGAATGTGGGGCTGCTTGGTGTGAGCATGCTGGGGTTCTGCCTCCCCCTCTACCTCATCTGCTACCGGCGCCAGCTGGAGAGGCAGCTGCAGCAGAAGAGGGAAGATGACAAGCTTTTCCTCAAGCTCAACGGTTCATCTAACCAGGAGGCTTTTGTGTAGCACCCATCACCTCAAAACTGTGGCCTCTTGCCCTTGCTTCGGTGACTGACTGATGTCCTCCTCCCCAATCCAGAGGACCCCCATGCACCCCCAGGTTCTTCTCCTTCACCATGTTGGAGTCCATGCTCCCTCTCAGGGTCATGGTCCGGCCTTGGAGCTCTGTGGTAGAAGGACAGGAGAGGGCCCGGACAGGTGGTTTTCCCACTCTGCCACCCTCAAGGGGCCCTGGAGCCTTAAGGCTCCATGATTCCTATAGGAAGAGCCAGGAGGACCCCCGGCAGGCAGGCTCTCCCCGTTAAGTGTCTGGATTCTGCCATCCACTGCCCACCACCTGCCCTTTAGCTGCATGCCCACCAACCACACCTGCCTGAAGACAAAGGCTTGCACTGTCTGCACCCCCTCGCCTGGCCCCTCACCTCCTCCCCTGGCCAGTCTGAGGCGGCCTGAGGAAGGAAGGACCCGCTTCCTGTTGTTGGTGCTAACTCCTTTGTAATCCCAGCCCCCTGTGGCCTGCTCATGGCCTGTCCTCCCATTAAGCCTGTGGAGAGCCCCCCAGCTTAAAGTCTGAGGAGAGGATGTAGGACTGGATGGTCACACACACAGCTCAAGAGCTGTGGACAGGAATGACCAAGGGGGGAGACAGTTTCAACTACTACCCTCCATCAGTCTGTGACCTGAAGGGCATTAAAGGGCACCACCAGGGCATCCCCTCACACACAGATGTTTATGTGGGGATGAAAGTGAGGTTGTGACTGACAGCTGTGGAGATCCAGGGTAGTGAGGTAGATTTTGTGAGGGGCCTAGGTATATGTGTACATGTGGGATAGGTGTATAGGTGTGCTGTGTGAGGTGGGGGCTTTGGGTAGGGTTTAGGCTCTGGGTGTTTTCTTACCCTTGAGAAGCCAGCCAGACCTACAGTAGCCAGTGCCCAGGAGCCAGCCTCCTCAGGGCAGGGAGTTTGTCCCAGGCCACAGAGCCATATCGCCCTCTGCTGGCAGATTCCTCCAGCACCCAGGCACTGTTTACTTGGGAGAGGTTGCCTGCCCTTCCTCTGCAAGGTGGGCCTGGCTCACCAACCCGCCCCACAAATGTGTCTGAGACTTCCCAGGAGGAGTGGGTTGATTTTTAGTTTTATGGTTTTCTTTTAAGTCTTATCGGCCTCTTTTTTATAAAGCAATAAATCCATTTTCCCCCTGGTAGGGGTTACCCTTTCTAGTTTATCAGTTAACAGCTACATGTGCCTGTTTGGAGGTGAAAAAACAAGATTTTCTGCCACTGACCAGCCCAGGTTGTACCCAGCTGCTCCCCATCTCTCTGGATGATTGATGTTGTGGGAGGGACAGTGGACCAGAAAAAGATCTTACTTTCCCATGTCACCCCCAAACAAATTGAGCCTGCGCAACAGCTTGGAATTATGGGCTGCCCTCTCCCCGGCTGCCTATCCTTGCAAACAGACTAACCTCCCTCCCCCTCCATCCCCTACTAAGATTTCCTGTCACTAGTCCCCGACCCTGAGGGTTCCTCCAGAATTCAGCACACAAGGTGACCCAGGAGAGCCTCAGGCCAACAGGATGGATGTAGGTGGGGAAGAGGAGGAGGAGGGGAGGGGAGGCAGAACAGGAAGGGGCAGACCCAGGCCCAATTCCAGTTCTACATTAACAGCTGAGCACCTTGCACACACCTAATCTTCCTAGGCTTTAGCTCACTCAACTATTAAAAAACAAAATATTTGTTTTAAAGCATGCTCATGAACTTTGCAGCTCTCCAGGAGAGGGTGTGTAGTCTTGGAGGCATGTTGCTGCTGAGGAATGGTTCACAAAGAGCCCTCTCTGTGCCACCAAGTGACCAACTGCCTCAGGAGCTCCTGGGGTGCTTGTTAAAAGTGGAGACTACAAGTCTTGTCTCTGAGAAGGAAGCTGGGGTCTTCATCTTGCTTACTTTCCACCTGGTGATTCTGGTGCCCCCCCAAAGTTTGAGGCCCAGTGACAAAGAGAAAACACAGTTTGAGAAAACAACTGGCCAAGGGCCTTCTACCTGGAGAAACGCCTCAGGGTTGTATACTCAGGGCAGCCAAAGTGGGGGCTGCTGCTTCTCCCCACTCACCCACAGGGTGTGGGCACTTTGTGGAAGGAGCAGGCATTGATAAATTAGAATTTAGGGTCAACAGTGTGAGGATTAAAAGCATGAGAATGGGAGCAGGGTGCCAGGTGGGTTGGGTACCACCTGTACCCCCACTTTCATCAAGGGCCAGTCATTCTGCTCTAGCTGTACAAAGTTGGCAGGTTACTTATTTTCCTGTTGTTTTCACCAAATCATGGTTAACAGCCCAGGAATTAAGTAAATACTATCAACCCTATTTTATAGCTGGAAAAATGGAGGCCCGGGGAAGTAGAGTAATTTACTCCAGCTATAGCCAGGACTCATTTTGTCTTTTTTATTTATGCATACAAGAACTGGGCTGTAAGCTAGAGGTGGGGGGCAGTGAGAGGATTCACCAGAGACTGGGGAACAGAACAGGCAAATCTGAAATACACTGCTGAGGGGAGCAGCAGGAGAGACAGGAGAGGTCTGCTGTACCATGTGGGTCAGCTCCCTGGCCAGGGATTGAACTTATGCTGCAATGGCTGGTGATAGCTTGATCATTCTGAGACTTAACCCCTGCACCACCAGGGAGGCCCCACATATTTACTTTAAGCACTGGAGCTGCCAAGGGCAGTCAGCATCAATAGCCCTTGAAAGGGAAGCAAACCCAGACATGATCTCTAGTTCTTGGGAGTCAAGAGCTCCCTCCTAGAGTGGGGTAAGCTCTAGGTACAGTCATCTTGGCCCTGGAGGCTAATAGTTTTTTGAGGGAGTAATTTTCTGGTCACCCCAAACCCTGAGAGGAGTGTCCTAGGAGAGTGCAGGGACCATGGGCCAGTAAAAGGCAGTGGGCACCAAGCAGCTCCAGTCCTGCTTGTCCCTCAGGCTCCTGGTAGGAATGCACAGGAAGTGGAGCCTGGCCCTGTAGTTTCAAAAGTGAGGAAGGGGGCCCTTCTCTTAGGTGTTCTTTGTAGTTGACTTCCTGCAAACCGTCCCAGCCTCAGCTTGCTGCTCCTGCCACTTGGGCCTGTGCTAGGGAAGGTTCCAACCCTCAAAAAAGGTCAAAGTTCTGACTGCAGGTGCTTATGTGTTGTGTTTTAACTCCATCTCCTTACCCAAAGTACCTAAAGTCAGCCTGATCAAAAGAACTACTCAAGCCCTGGTCATGGCCCTGGGCAGTGCAATCTGAGCAGGGCCTCACCTTACCCTAGGCCCCCAGGACACTGAAAATGGGGGGACATCCAGGATTATTGTGCAGGAGCATCTCAATAGCATGAACACATTTGGTCCAGTGGCGTTTTTGATGCACTTGCACATCAGCATCTATAAATTTGAACAGATTTGCAACTGGAGTGAGTGTTGGGGTGAGGACAAACTGTCCTCTCAACAGGGCCAGACTGCAGGGGTCCTGTAAGCACCAGTTCTCTCCTCTGGTTCTCATGGGCCCTTGGGGCAGTGAGGTGCCTCTTCCAATTATCAGGGACCCAGCTCAAGGTGCTAGTCTATTTTCCCCAAATACAGATGGTAGGATTAGAAGTCCAGGAACCCCCCTGAGTGAGGGAGTTAGTTTTCCACAGACCTCTGCTCTCTCCTGGGGTGGGCATGGGGGTGTCAAGGTGAGCAGGCAGGCTTCTGTGAGCCTGTTCCCCCTGCCCCTTGGCCCTAGTCCTCCCCAGCCCTTGAGTGCGAAAGGAGGTGTAGCATCCTCCCTGTGGGGGCCTTGCCACACAATTCAGCCACTCTCTGCCCCACCTGTAAACTAGTTATTCTCAGCCTTTGGGCAAGACTGGACTGGTCAGCCCCTCAGAGTGAGGTTCCGCCCATCTGTGCCAAGGAGGGAACAAAAGGAAGAAAAGTTAACACCTTCACCACATCCATCTCAGTGACCTTAGGCAAGTTTTGAGCCTCAGTTTTCTCATCTATAAAATGGAGGTAATAATACCCTGACTGTGAGGCCAAGTGAGCATGTACAACACTTGTACCTGGCACTGAATAGGCACCTAACAAGGGAATGGCACTCTTTTAGTGACCCCGGAGGGGCGCAGTTGACACAGGGGACACCTGCTTCAGGCAGCTCTGATCAGAACAGGCTCGTGGCCAAGTAAAGGAAGCGAGACCTGGTTTCTCTGATTCCTACACCTTTCAAACTCCTCTCAAAACAAAACCCTTAAAAAGTTGTCCCCTTGTTCAGTTACCTTATACGCCTTTCACTTTTTGGTAAGAAATTTAGCCCCCAAACTCAAGATAATCTGATAGTGGATGCACAGGCACCTGGCAGACTGACATAGAGCCGGGCGAGTCGGACCATGGGTAGTACACCGCGCCTCCGCACCACCTCCCCCTACAACCATGTGGCCGTGCCTCTGGAGGGGTGTGTCTGTGTCTGTGTCTGAGATGAAGTGTGAGATGTGAATTTGTTCAGAGGAATGTGGAGGAGCTTGTCTGTGTGCCTCTCTACCTGGATGGAGGAGAGAGAGGGTAAGGGTCTTGCCTTATTGAACCCCTTTCCACTGCTGGAAAGATCTGGGCAGGCCCATCCAAAGACCCAACCCTGGCCCCCAGAGTGCCTGAGGGTTATCTGTTCCCTGTGTTAACCAGGGTCAATACACATCACTGCATCACTGACAACTCAGCAGCTGACCCTGACTCCTCCGCCCCCTCGCTGTTTGCAGCACCTGGCTTACTTCCTGCGGCACAGTAAGCACTCAATAAACGTATGCAGAGAATGACTAAGAACTGCTTCCTCCTTGGCTCCTGTGTCTAAGTCACCCATCCCTTCGCCCTTTGTCCTTGTCCAGATTCCCTGCCACTTGTCCCAGCCGAGCTCCCTAACTCCCTCCTCTCCTGCCTGCTGCCTTCACCGGGGGCCGGCTTCTCTGGTTTGGCCTTTGTGCTGCCATTTGATGAGGCGAGGAGGGACAGAATAAGGGATCTCTTGGATGGGACAACAACCAACATTGCTGGTGAATTCTGATTCTACAGGAAGGGAGCTCATCCTTGCCCTATTTCCTGTATCTCCAGGCAATGGACATGACTGTTCTTCCCACAGATTTCCCATCAATCTGGCCAGCCTTCCACCAGGCCCTGGGCAGAGGCAGTGGGAGGGAGAGAACCTCTGGTTTCCCCAGAGAAGGTTCAGGGAGGTCCCCCACCAGGAAGGGGAGAAGGTGGTCCTATCCCTGTGAGTGGAAGGGCTTGAGGCCCCCTCAAGGGGAGGGCTGAGGATGGCCTGGGGGGGGGCGGTCCTCTGGGGAAGAGCAGCTGGGCCCTGCATAGCCAGGGAGGGAGACGCTAGGTGGGTGCGCACGGGAACTCTTACTTGTCAGGACTGCAAACTCATTGTCCTGCCTCTGAGGGAGACAGCGCAGAGAACTATTTCTCAAATATAAGCAGAGCCACAGCGCACCTGTATCACGCTGCTCTGCAATGACATGGGAACTAGACCTTGACCCTGGGCCAGGGATCCAGGAGGATGCGGTGGGGACTGTGAGGACCTAGAGGCTGTAGTCCCTCTCTCAGGGGACGCAGCTCCTGCTAATTTTGGCCTGCTGGGAACAACCATAGTGTTGCTGGATCTTCTGAATTTTTTCAAGAGAAACTGGAAATGTTGGGTTTTATATAAAAATCCTGATCTTCAAATGTTGACTTAATAACAGTTTTTCAAATATCACAGCTGCTCAAATAGATTTTAACACTATGCAGGCCAAACACTGTCAGAGGTAAGGAGAGAGAAGAGGAGGAGGGAAAGTGCCTCCTTACCCCTTTGGGTAAGTAAGTCACTGCTGTCTGCTTCTGTCTCCAGCAGATAGACCGGTCCTGCTTTATTTTTTTTTTCAAAGATTTATTTATGCATACAAGAACTGAGGTACAGGCCAGAGGTGTGGGGGGTGAGAGGATTCACCCAAGACAGAGTGGGGAGCAGAAGAGGTGGATCCATTGAAATACACTGCTGAGGGGAGCAGCCGGCGAGTCAGGAAAGGTCTGCTGAGCTATGTGGCAGCTCCCTGGCTGAGGATAGAACTTGTGCTGCACTGGCTGCAGATAGCTTCATGGATTGCGTCTTAACCCTTTGCGCCACCAGGGAGGCCCCCATCCTGCTTTAGACTGAAGTTCCTCGTGGGACCTTTTTCCTTTCACCTTTCTCCACACCTGGTGCAGAATGAGTGAGTGAACACATGGGATAAACACTGTAGTTTGGTTTCTAGAGTGACCCACGTCCCTATTTAGGGCAGGAAATTGCCAGGGAAAGCACAGTGCAGAGCCAGCTTGTCCTCATGGGCCCAAGTCCCCACCCATTTGGGGCCTGGCCTGACCATACACGCCTCTGCCCAGTGGGATGAGCCAGGCAGCCAGAATCATGCATTTGCTCTTGGTGTGGTGTCTGACTCCCCACTAGAACAAAAGCTCCTTGAAAGCTGGCACCTGCCTGCCTTGGCCACTGTGATACCGCCAGTGCCCAGAATGGTGTCGAGCATGGAACCGCTGCCCAAGAAATACTTGGAGGATGAAATTTAAAGAGAGAGCGAGAAAGCTGAAACACTCAGACAGGGGCTGGGAGGAGAACATGCTTTCACCAGCCACGAAGGGATAGGGCAGAGATGGAAACAGTGAAACACAGTCTCCCGACATATGTAGAGATACATTACAGATGTGGCTGTGATCACGGTGGTAACAAGGGCTGCCAGCCAGAACCACCTCAGGGCCTGAACCATGAGATGAACAAACACGAAGACCAAGGCATGAGAGAGAAACCAGACAGAACAGAGAGCAGGCAGATAGGGAGGAAAGGGACAATTGCAAAGGGAAGACGAGAAACAGGCCAAAGGTGCATTATCCAGAACAGAGTAACAAACACCGAGACCACAGGGAAGGGGAGAGTCCGGAGAGGAACTGGCAGAGAGAGACCAAAGAGGAGAGACAGAGTCAGAGATACAGAGAAACAGAATGAGAGAGAAAATAAAAGGAAATAGTAAGGGAGATAGAGGGACAGAGAGATACAGAGGAGAGATAAAAAGACATAGGCACTATAAAGAGAGAGACAGAAGGAAGAAATATATACAGAGAGGAGAGAGGATGGGAGGGAGATAAAGAGACAGACGGTAGAGAGAAACGGCAAAAGAGAAAGACAAAGAAAGACACCAGAGACAGATTATGTGACCCTTGAGTCACTTCTTTCTCTCCTGTAAGCCTGGAGCGTGGAAAAGTAGTTGTTGTTGGTTTTTTTTTTAAGATTTATTTATTTATTTATTTATTTATACAAGAACTGGGGTACAGGCCAAATGCGTGGGAGGATGGGAGCATTCACCAGAGACAGAGCGGGGAACAGAACTGGCAGACTGACAAAATACACTGCTGAGAGGAGCAGCGGGCACGACAGGAGAGGTCTGGCGCGCCATGTGGGACCCTGGCCAGCCGGCTGGGATAGAACCGGTGCTGCAGAGGCTGCGGGCCACTTCAAAGCACAACACTCGGCCGCCTGCGCCACCAGGGGAGGCCCTGGAAAAGTAGTTTTGAGGGGCAGTAGTGTCCATCCTCCCTTCCTCCCTAACCCCTTCCCTCTATAATAATGATATGGAAATGTGCCAGGGGGTACACAGATGCTTTATGTGAGTTACCTCATCTAATGAGTCTCAGCAATCGCACCAGGCAGGCATTATCACTGCCCCCATGTGACAAATGAGAAGTTGAGGCACAGAGAGGTTAAATAATTTGCCTAAGGTCTCACAGGTGGGAAGGGTAGGGCCGGGACTCCAAGGCTCAGGGCACCAAGTTGTCTGTTTCCACAGTGGCACTATTGGTGGGGCGCAGTGGCAGAGCGCCATGGCCCCTGCACACCTGAAGCCAAAGCCTGCTAGAGTGAAAGAGGTGTAAGAAATGGAGCACCTGAAAAAAGCAGGAGACAAATGCAGACCTTTTTTGGGTACAGAACTTACCTAAAGAAATGACAAAATAGTATTTTTTTAGCTAATTTGAGAAAACTGACTATGAACCAGGTACGAGCTAATATCCAGAAACTATTATTACTTTTGTGAAGCATGACACTGGCATTATGGAATTGTAAGAAAATATTTGTATTTCTAGAATGCACGCTGAAACGTGGAGGGGTAGGAAGACATGTCTGAAGTTCGCTCTCAAATATTTCTTTTTATTATTTATTTATTCTATTTTGCTCTCAAATATTTCTCTTTTTTAAGAATTGTTTTATTTATTTATGCATACAAGAACTGGGGTACAGGCCAAAGGTGTGTGGGGGGTGAGAGGATTCACCAGAGACAGAGTGGGGAACAGAACAGGCAGACTGACAAAATACACTGCTGAGGAGAGCAGCGGGCAAGACAGAGGAGGTCTGCTGTGCCATGTGGGTACCTCTCTGGCCGGCGATCGCACTCATACCATCAATTTCATGCCACAGTGGCCGGTGATAGCTTCATAGCGCTGAGATTTGAACCCATGCCACCAAATATTTCTGAAAAGAGAAGAAATGAAGGGAGAATGACAACTTCTGCTAACAGTTGAACCAGGGTAATGAGGCTGGGGGTTCCTTAAGCTTGCACATGACTGCCCCTGTGCAGGGGACACTTCTCTAGTGTGCACAAGGCCCTCTCAGGCCCAGTGTGCCTCAGGGTCAGTGTGCCCTTGACATGAACCATTTGAGCTCTAGCCAGAGACCTTGTTCTGGCCTCTCCAGCCCCTCAAACTCCATCTGTGTAGAATTCTGTCTCTGTACCTTGGTAGATACTAGTTTCCCTCCAAAGATACCATTCCCTCCTCCTAGCAAACCTGGTTCCAATTCCCCGTGTCCCGGGATGCTTCTTCAGCCCAGAAGACCCATCCTTGGACCTTCTCCAGCATTGTTCTTTGTAGAAAACTACCTCTAGTCAATGGTTACAGTTTTCTGAAGTTCAAGGCCTCCTCTTCATGGGTTCCTCCAGAGGGGAGTCTCTTTCTCAGGTATTTAGATCATTGTTTTGCTTTTTGTTTCTCCCCACTACCCAGTATAGCCCTCCAAACTCCATTCTCTTATTAATTTTGAGTCAGCTTAGCAAGAATTCCTCTAGTCATTCAAGTCTCAGCCTAAACATCGCCTCCTCTGAGTCTTCCCTGCCCACCTGACTAATGCACCACCACCCATAGTCACCCTGACAACCTCTTCATAACATTTACCATGTCTCGAAGTTATTTCTGTGCTTCTACTCCCTCCCCCACTCACCCCATCTCCTGCGTACTGAGCAAGGCAAGGATCTCGCTTTTCTTGGTCAACCACTGTGTCCTGAGTGCCTAGAAAAAAGTCTAGGACAGGATCAGGAACTCAATCAATATTTATCGAGTGAATGAATAAATATAGTTTTCCCAACTAGACTACAAACTCCCAGAGAGCAGGGTCTCATTACTTCCTGGAGAGAGCCAGCACCTGGCAATTGTTCAGTAACTATTCATTGATTATGTAGGAGAAAAAACGTACAGTGAGGGGTCAGGGGACCAGGCCACTCACTTAATCTTGGATTTTGTGCCATAATGTTTCCATTCTTGGCCTTCCCTTGAAGGGTTTGGGCTTAGATTTCTCGGGCAATCCATGCTCCCACTCTAGGATTTGATGAATGATTGACCAATAGGTGCAATATCTGGGCTAACCTAGGGTACCAGTCACAACCTGACAGCCATATGGCCACCTGCTCTACCCTCCCTTCCCAAGTCCCTACCATCACCTGGGTGCCTGACCAGTCCAACACTGGAGTCAGTATCTTCCCTTGTGTAAATCCGCC